GTGTTGGTAGGTCGACATACCGCTTCCACTCTAGAAAAGAAAAGAAAATAAAACAAAAATTAAAAAACGTGTTGCGCACCGGAGGACTGAGGGAAGGTTGCTCTTTTCTAAGCCGTCTGTAGCGTTACCCAGCGCTGAGAAGTAAAAACGAGCTTAAGGTGTGTGTCTGAGGGGACGGTGCCAGCGGCTGGCGTCCCTGCGGGGGTGTTGGCGGCCTGAGCTCACGCAAGAGGGCAGCGGCTGTGCAGCCTTTGCGGGACCGGAGCTGCAGGGTTGTCACGTCCACCCTGGTGGCGGCAGTGCTGCCTCGGGCCTGCCAGGGGCCTTGGCCTCTGATCAGCCGTCAGCCTAACTGGAGACATTAACCTTGGGCTGTTTTCTGTGGCAAAACCCGGCATAGTTTCAGTAATATGGAGCTACAGCTTAGCAGCTGGTTGGTGGTTTTTGGGCTGAGACTGAAAGTGTACTGACATGCCTCATCTCCCTCGTGCTCAGTTGACCCCACTGAGAACGCCCCTTGTCCCTCAGACATGCTGCCTGCAGCAATTTTAGACACATGAAATTGTATCTTGGATGTTTAAGCAGTTCTGTCTTATTTTCTTGTAGAATTGTCATGTGGACAGAGCCTGCTTCCATATTTTCTTTACTACTAATTTTACTATTCTTTCTGCCTCCTGTCTAGTATCTTTTGTGCTGTTCTGGTGATGTGTTGTTGAGTCTATGCCTGGTGCTTCAATCCTGATCTCCAGCAGTATCTCATGGAATTCCCCTCCTGATAATGTATTTTTTTTCTGTCATGCCAATACACTGAAGAATTTTGGCTGCTTTATACAATACAATTAAAATACAGCAACATTTCACACTACATGTGTTGTTACGTAGTTAAGTGGTTAGACCAGTTAAGTCAAGAAAAAATGTTTAAAAGCCTGATAAACCACACCCTTTGTGGAAAATTTAGCAGAGCATTTCACATGTCAGTATACATCTGATATTTCCTTTGCTAGCATCTGTTCTCTCCTGAGCCCAGCTCCACTCCTTATGACCTAAAAGTACAGCAAGAGGCAACAAACTCTTAAAAATGATGTGAATGCAACTTTTTTGCTTTTCTCTCCCATTTTCAGATACTTTCTCCCTATTTTGTCATATAGTTTGCTTGGTCACACTTACTACATAATGATTTACTATTACAATTTAATAATAAATGTACTAATATTTTTAATTTGCCAGATGTAGTGATAACAATTTCAGGTATATAATGTTGATTAATATAAATGTGTATGTGTGCATATGTGGATTTTCCATTGTATGATGCACTAAGCAAAAAAAGGAGAAAGGAAAGGGAAGTGGGGAAATAGAAATGGCATTCTTTTGGAGGAAAAAATCTATTTTTCATTAGGCATTTTTTTTCTTTCTTTTAGACAAATGAAAATGAGACCTGGAGAGGTCCTTATAGACTGCTTAGAGTCTGTTGAAGATACCAAAGGAAACAATGGAGACAGAGGTAACTGCATACTCAGGGAAACTGTAAACTTTCTAATATTGAACCAGTGTGGATTTATGAAAGCACTGTCTGGTTTCCATTGATCTCGGTATCAATGATCTGTTGAAGAAAATAGATCCTGCCTGTTTTGCAGATTTGTCTCCCCTTGGAGTATTTTCAAATAGGATCTCATGTTCAAAGTTATAGGAAGGCGATAATCTTGTCTCAGAATTTGTTTAGAATTGCAAGCCTTGTAAGGATAATTAATTTATAAACATTGCGGGGATCTTTTGCTGTAATCCTGTTTAATGCTTAGTTTTTCCTAACCTGGTTTAAACTGAATCAGTAAGGAATTTATATATAGCGTGCGAGGGCATGAAGCTGCCAGTGTGCTGAGATGACCCTTCCTGGGGTTGGATGTGCTGTTGTACAGGGTACAGAATCAAAGAAATTTCCATGTGACATAAATGGGTGAGGTTATTCATGGAGACAGCTGCGACAGCTAACTCACTGCCTTCCCCTTCTCCTCCCCAGAACAGTTCTGCATTGATTGTGTCTCTGCATTTTTACCATAGGCAAGTGGATATGAAATCAGTAACTGTTCTTGGTTTGGTTTTGAGGAATTTAGAGGTAGTTTCATTTGTTCCTTGCTGGATTTTCTCTCCTAGCATTAAAAAAAAAGTGTTTAATGATTTTTCTGTTGGGTTGTCTTGTGCTTTTCTTCTTTTTCCTATCAAGAGGAAGGAATATTCTGGTGTTTCAAAACTAGAGGTAAATACGTACCACAGAATAGAACATTTAATTTAATGGAAGTTATTCACATTAAAAGTATCTACACTCTTTATTTCCAGGTAGACTGCTTGTGACAAATCTGCGGATTATTTGGCGCTCATTGTCATTGCCCAGAGTCAATCTCTGTAAGTATCATCTCCTGTTAAACAACAGCAAATTTTGTGACTTTCTTTTGTGGTGGCACACTATTCTTTCAGAATAGTATTGATTACAGTACAGAATAGTATAGTTCTGTTGCTCTGTAAAGTCTGAAATAAACTGTTGCTAGTTAATCTATTTGTAATATAGGAACTGTTGTAATAATTCATAGTGACATATTAATATTCAATGTTAATTTCTCAGAACAGAAGTTGAAGAGTACTTCAGACGTATTTTTCATTTGGCTTGTGTGGGAGTCATTTGTTTTTCTGGAAAGAAACAAAAGTTTGAGTTTCTTCACTCCTTGCTTTACTTTTATCTCTTGTTGCCACCTGTTTATTCACATGCTGTATTGTCCTACAGTTTTATTCCCCACAAGTACCTGCCTTTCCAAATTTACTATTGTAAGATTTGAATAAGCTTCAAATTTTAACTGTAGGAGTAGCTAGCAGGTCTAATCATATCGAATTTAAATTGCTGAAACAGGGGCAGGATGCACATACTTTGTACCCAGATTATTTCCAGTGTTCAGTTCCCAATATCCGGTCAATATTTAAAATCGGTATTCTATTCATAACGTACATAAACTTATGTCCTCTTCCTGCTTGCTCTTCTGCGTTTGTTGTCTCATAAATGCATGCACATACAAGTGTGTGCACACACACTGCTACTTTTATGTATATTTACAAAATAAAAAAAATTATTTGCTTGTGTGTTCAAGTTTTAGAATTGACCTTTTTAGAGGAGATCACAAAGAAACTTAGGGAGTAATTCAGCTCTATAGAACCTCAAGGATGTCTAACCTGTGGCTTTTAGAGTTTAAAATAGTCTTTAGCTTTCAAGATAATGCATTATTTCTTACATTATATATAGAATATAAAGACCAAAAAAATTATTGGATGCCATTTTTGACCATTGCTATTTCTTTTAGTTTTAGAAGATTTCTCATAAGCAATGGTCATTTTCTGGTATTTTCATAAGTAATCATTCTGCAAAGACTGAATATTCTTACCTACGTAACTGCTGCCACATCTGAGCTTTTAGAGAAGCAGAATCTTCCCAGAGCAAATTCTAGTTCTTCTTTGATTTTTTTTGGATTTTTTTTTTTTTTCTTTTTGGATCATGGCTGTGCTACTCCTGGTGTCAGGAGCAGGACTGTAATTGACTTTTAGTTTTAGCCCAGCACTGTTTTAGTGCATCCATTTGTTTTAGGAGGAATGTCTGGAATTGTTTCTGGTTTTATTTTGTATCAGAACACTGCTGTAGAAGAGGCAAATTGAAATTTATCACTGTTTTCCTCTTCTTTTTGTTTCTTTTCCACTTACACTTCCCATTTTGCTGCTTTTTTTCTTTGTCATCTCCTTAACTTTTCTTCTACAAAGTATTATATTATGTACAAAGTGGGTAAAATTTACAGGCAACATCATGATGAAATGGACCTTCTTAAGGGAACAGTCAAACGCTGAAACAAGGGAAATTCTGAATACAATATTACAAGAAAAATGTTCACAGTGATGGCAGTCAAACAGTGCAGCAGGTCCACTGAGTGGCTGTGGAATCTCCTTCTTTGGAAATATTAAAAACTTAATTGGACAGTACCTTGAGCAGACAGATGGAGATGGTCCTGCTTTGAGAATAGCATTGGACCAGAGAACCTCCCAAGGTCCTTGGCAGCTTAAATTAGTCTTTTTTAAAATTAGTTTTTAAATTAGTTTTTTTAGGCCCACACCATTAACCACAGTGTATAATTCTTACAAATATCTTCCAAGGCTGTGCCACAAAATTCAGTATTGTACTTTGTAATTTTTACCATTATTTTTTCTTCTCAAAACTGTTCTTTTTTTTTTTTTTCCTCTCCTATCTTTTAGCTGTTGGTTACAACTGCATTATAAATATAACTACAAGAACTGCCAACTCAGTAAGTTTCAAAAAATGCTTTTTAAAATTATAAAAGAAGCTGTAATTAATTGTTTATACTTATTGCACTATATCAACAATCAACTGAAAGTTTGCTTGCAAGAACAGTAATAGAGTAGTAATGGAAGTTTAGTTTTAAAAGTTGAGAGTTTTACATTTCTGTAGGAGTGTGGTTTTAGTCAGTTTCCTAAGGCAGTAAAACTCATGTAATCACACTGTTTGGTGTGATTATCCCTCTAGGTAAGTCAAACACATGTTGGCTCATTGTGTCTAAATTTAACAAAAGTCTAGAGAGCTGCTAATTTTGTGCAATAAAGCTCTCAAATACATTGCCTGAATTACATGCAACTGGGAAGCCATTTGCTTGGCTTGCAGCAAAGAACTCACAGCGAGATTCTGTAGGTTCCCTAGGCAGCCACATGGTAACAAAGCCAAAAATACTGTTTCAGTCATGATACTGGAAATGTATAGCAAGCAGGCTTCATTAGTTCTACTGTTGATGGAACTGCTAGTTTCTCCAAAAAACCCTGAGTTCAGTTGAAGACAGCAGTAGATCAGTGGTGGAATCAGGATTACACCTTGAGATATACTATTTAGAACAAGAATTTAGAATATATGTCAAGATTATTTATTGCCTGCACAGTCAAGCTACTATATTGTCAAAAATTAAAATTTCATTTTTTCCTTACAGAAATTACGAGGGCAGACAGAAGCTCTATATATATTGACTAAATGTAACAACACACGGTTTGAGTTCATATTTACCAATGTTGTCCCCGGGAGTCCCAGACTCTTCACTTCAGTTATTGCTGTACACAGGTAGCATACTTAAAGTAATGTTTGTTCATTTACAAAATTCAATAAATCCAATATGTGGGATTGCTACTGCTGATGAACTGACTATATAACTGTGCATATTTAATATTCAGAAAACTTTCCCAAAAGGGGAGAACACGATCTCTGGTAGGAGGGGAGAGAACGATCACAAATTCTAGTATGTAACAGTAGATAATGAAAATTAATGTGTATTAATACCAGTCATTGATCACAGTTTACATACCTTGCGTTTATAAGCTATCTGAACAAATACAAGTATAAAAGAGCTAATGTCAGTGTGCATTTTCTTTCTGTAATTTCTGTCTATAATAATTTTGCATAATTTTGGACCATGTAATGGAATTGAAGAGTTAAATCCTGGTCAAAACTAATTGACTACAAAATAGTGGATATTTCCCACCTAAAGATAAGTCATCTGAATGAATGTGTGCATAATACATTACCATAAATTTCAATTTAAGAGCTATGGAATACTGATGTATGTATATTGGACGTTTGTGACTTAACCAGCACTGAAGAATCAAGGATTCTTCATGTCTGTTCTATGTATGCCATGGGAAACAGAAGACTTAGGCTTTGCTATTGAGGCTGGGAGACGACTATATTAAGGCGAAGAAAGAAATAGTATACACATGAACAATACAGGAGATCAAAACAAATGTCAAAAAATCCTTTTAAGCTTAAAGATAACTTCATTAAGGAAAGCTGAAATATATTGGTTTTCATTGATGAAGTTTTAATAGTACTCTAATTTCTGTGCAATGTGGTGATAAGAAAAGTTTTCATATTGGTGCTAAAACAAACAGTAGAGATAATAGAAAACACTGCAATGCTAACATGTATTTTTTATTTTTTGCAGAGCTTATGAAACTTCTAAAATGTATCGTGATCTGAAGCTGAGAAGTGCATTGATTCAGAACAAGCAACTGAGATTATTACCACAAGAACAAATATATGATAAAATCAATGGAGTTTGGAATTTATCAAGTGACCAGGTTAGTGAAAAATGAGACTGCTTTACTAGAGCAAAGTTAAAATGTTTCAGCCTTCATCTAGCAATTATACTACCATAGTTTTGTAACCTCAGAGGAATTACCCTTAATTCATTTCATCAGCTGATGCACGCAGAGAAGCTGATCCCATGTATTTGCTACTCAGTACAACAAAGTCTCTTTTTGGCAACCTGAAGTCTCCATGACTCGGCTAATATGCAAGGAACTAGATATAAAGTTCCTGTTAAAAAGATGAATTTGTGAGTCTAAAGCTCTGTATCATCCTGAAAGACAATCATGTTGTTTTCAAAGTGCTCTGCTGAATATTTGTAGGTTTACATTCAGCTTTGACTACAGTGTAGGACTATGTTGTCTTTTGATTATTGGAAATTGAAAATATTGGAATAGAAATCTGTGTTAAAACGTGGAAAAATAAAGACTTTAAGGAAAAAATATAAAACATTTATATTATTTTGCAGTTGCAAGTACTTCCCAGAGCCGTGAAATAAAATGGGAGTTGTTATTTCTCTCTGTGCAATTTTAGTCCAGAATGGAAATAGGATCCATCCTAACAAGCTAAAAAATTCTTTCCTGTGCACTCCCTTGGCACACATCTCCACAATTGCCTAAGTTTAACCCACATGCCATTATACTTACACTATATGCCAATTCCAGAGCTGTACAGTTAAGAACACTCTATCATATACTGCCATGAGGTCTGCTGTGCTGCAGTAATGGGTACTCCCAGCTATTTTCACCACTTGGGTGCTGTATCCTTTAAAAATTGGATCTTGCTTCCTTGCAATCAACAGAAGAATTTCAACTGGTTTTGGTGGGAAGGAATTAGCCTTTTATTGAATTAAATTACAAATTTGTATCCTGCTTGTGTTTAAATGGACAGCGGTAATCATCGTGTTCAGAAAAAAGGCTCTGTACTGCAAAGTAGTTCTAACATAACTTTTCTTTAATAGGGAAATTTGGGAACATTTTTTATTACTAACGTGAGAATAGTTTGGCATGCAAATATGAATGACAGCTTTAATGTCAGCATACCATATCTACAAATTGTAAGTATCTTAAAACAACCATTTTCAAAATGAAATGGCATAAGTTCAAGTCTTCCATTAAAACCCTGCTCATCAGAATTAGTATTTTATGTCCCACAGTCAGGGAGAAAATTAGTCTTACCAGCATCAAGCACAGGTTAGATTAATTTTTTCTTCTGTCCAGATTAATGGGGGCTTTCATGAGCAAGTACAGATGTTGAAAATGGCTTGTGTTTCCAATTTTCAAACTATTTAATATGATGTTTCATGCCCCCTACATACACTGGGATTAATGAGCTGTGAACCTGATCTGCAGAAATGAACTGTTACCACTGTTACCACTTCTGATTAAAAACACTTCAGGGGTTCAGATTTGTAATGGTAAATGGGAGGGAATGCTGGTAGCCAAGCTTCCAGAACAAGTAATTGTAATTAGTACAGTGGGGG